GAAGCAAGCTGCCAAGAATTTTGTGGACTTTAACTATTGTCAAGGATATAGAATACGATTACAGAGATCGTCAAAGATTGCGATTATATATACTTTCCTTTTAGTGTAGGTTTACTTTTCTTAGTAGTTGATTATGTAATCTTTCCTTTTATATTTATTTCCTTTTAGATTACGTAATATTTCCTTTTATGTTTGTTTCCTTTTACAGTTATTTGTAACCCTATAAATAGGGTCTTCTACATTGTAATATAATTAAGTTTATTATATACAATTTATAATATTCTTCACATGGTATCAGAGCCATTCCGATCCTAAACAAATTATCTCGTGAATTTCGTTTTCCGGCGAGGCTGCTCGCCCGGCTAAATTTTTCTCTCTTTTCGTTTGAATAAACACAATTTGTTTTTTCCCCGTGGGTTTGCTCCCATCCTACTGAACCCGGTCCCACCTCCACTCGTCCGGCAGTATATATGTTGGTAAACACTATCAAGGGCTTTAAACTCTTACCTGCTGCGGTCGGACGGTGCCGGTTGAGTGGAATCCAGCCTTCTTCTTCGTGTCTCCAGTTTCGCCGGTGCCGTTTCTCGAAGTTACAGGCTGTCGCTGGTTCTTCCTCTTCGTGTGTCGCCGTCGGGCCTCCTCTGGATCTTCACGGTGTCGCCGGTTCTTCTCTTCGCCGGCGACCTGACCGTCGGATTGCGCTTTCCCGGCTGCTGCTTCGTGCGCACCTCTGTCCCTGTTTTGGTCTACTCTTGCTGCCTTTCGTGTGTAGATTCTCTTGGTCTTTTGGGTAGTTGTTTTGCTCCAATTTGTGTGGTGATGTTGTGGGATTTTCGGCAGGAGAGTGAGGCGATGCAGGGAAGAAGACGATGAGGTGGTAGTGGGCTGCTTCAGTAGGCAATGGGTTATTTAATTGGGCTGTGAGTATTTCTTCATTAGCTGGGCTCTTTTTGGACAATTGATTTTGACTTGGGCAATTGATTTGGGTTAATTAATTGGTTAGGTTTTGATTGGGCTGAATTTATATATTGGGCCAGCTTATGGGTTGTTTGTAAGAATGTGATTTTTGGCATTAGATTTGGGCTAATTAGGTATTTTGTGATAATGGGCCTGTGCATTGGTTTGTTAATTAAAGTGGGCTATGGTGTTTTAATTCTTTTGAAGTGGGCCTATTGATGTGGGCCACTGAAGTAATTGGGCAGTGTTTGATTTTATTACTTGGGCTTGCTGGAATTATTGAGCAAGTTAGTGGGTTGTTGGATTGGACCAATTATTTAATTGATCTGATTTAATTGTGGTTTGTTCGTCATGGGTTCTTGGAGGTTGAGTTGAAGACCTCGCTCTTGCTCTTCAGTTATGAGGTCCCTGTGTGCCTATGGGTTCAGTTGAAATTTGTCTATTTT